AAACAGGGAATCCACACGACCCCCGAGGATTCTTAAGGAGTCCTGATAGATTCCTGAAGATCCTAAAGGACTCCTGGAGAGCCCCAAGGATTCCTGATGATTCGTATAGATTTCAGAGGATTCCTCAAGATGTCCTGGGGGGGGCCGAAAGATCTCGAAGGAGTCCTAGACAGATGTTCGCTGATTCTTAAAAATCCTTGCTTCATCCGAAAAGTTCCTGCCGGCTTCTCAAGATCATTCAAGATTCCGAAAGAGCCCAGGGGGGGTCTTATAGATTCTTGGGGAATCCAGAAAGATGCTTGGGGGATCCTGAGTGCTCTACCAAGGAGCGCCCCAGAAGCTGCCAAGGGGCGCCTTAGAAGCTGAGTAGTTGCGAAGGAGCGCCTTACATGCTGCCCAGGAGCGCCCGACAAGCTGCCAAGGAGCGTTTTTGAAGCTGTCCGGGAGCGCGATAGAAGCTGACAGGGGGCGCCCCAGAAGCTGGAAGAGAGCGCCTGAGAAGCTGCCAAGGGGCGCCCTAGAAACTAGCAGGGAACGCCTTGGAAGCTGCCGACGAACGCCTCAGCAGCTGCCATTGAGCTCCTGGAAAGGTTTGGAATATGCCACAGATCATGCATTTTCAGGACCTACAACTGAAGAGTGGACACGTTTTCTGGGGAATGGACAAGCTTACCGGGGAAATGGTTTTTCTTCTGTAGGAGTGTTGAAGCCAGCGCCTTGCCTGCGAAATCCTAACGATGTTGTCCGAAAGCAGAGGATGCTGGGCACGCATACGAACAAGTTGCTTGAGACATCCCCACAATTTGGGCGCGAATCCTGGAGTATCCCCACCCCCGGCGCCGCTTCCTTGAGGTCCCCAATACTTACGCCGAACAGATCGTGTTGAGAATTGGACCACCAGTGAGAACGAGTGAGTTTGAGCCTGAGTAGGACATGAGTACGAGTGTGAGTTGATCTGAGTGTGGTTGATTCCGAAACTGGGCAAATCTAATACGTTTGAGTCTGAGTGTGAGTGAGTTTGTATACGATTGAGTATGAGTGAGTCTGAGTCCGAGTTCGCTACTTTGACTAAAGAAAATACAGTGGAGACGGGGTGAGGAGGAGGAGAGATCGTTCGTTCCCAGATTCGACTATAGGGAAGGAACAAGTTTTGCGCCGAGGCCGTGCCTCCGTGCGCCGCGAGGGGGGGCCGGGACAGTCCCGCCTCGGACCCAGAACCGCCACGGGTGAACAGCATAGGGCTGGGGGTTGGGAACTGGAGGAGATGGCATGCGCTCCCGAGGCGCAGGCCTGGTGGCTGGCAAGAAAACGTGGACCCCGCATCCGCCCCGGGCACCCCGAAGGACGGGCCCAAAGTATCCTACTGGCTCATCGGCGCGGGCACCGCGAGCCCAAGAGTCACCCAGGCGCGGGCCTCCGAGGCAAGCCCGACGGCGACGGCACGGGCCCCGACCGCGAGCGCAGGGGCCACCCATGCACGGGCCTGCGCGGCAAGCTCGACGGCGAGGGCACGGCCTCTGAACGCGAGCCCAGGGGCCACCCGAGCACGTGCTTGCGCGGCGAGCTCGGCGGCGAACGCACGGGTCCCGACCGCGAGACCACGGGCCGCCCAGACACGGGCTTGCGGGGCATGTTCGGCGGCGACCCGACCGCGAGCCCACGGGCCACCCAGGCAGCCACCCAGGCACTGGCCTGCGAGGCGAGTTCGGCGGCGAGGGCACGGGCCCCGATCGTGAGCACTGGCGAGGGCACGGGCCCACCGCAGCAAGGGGGGCCACCCCGGCACGGGCCTGCGGGCACAGGCCCATCAGGCGTGCGCCCCAACCCTGGAGGGTTTCTCCGAAGGGCTTAAGCGACCCGTCCTCCTCCTCCTCCTCCTCCTCCATCCTCCTCCTCCTCCTCCCTCCCGCCCTCCTCCTCCTCCCCTCTCCTCCTCCTCCTCACTCCTCCTCCTCCTCTCCTCCTCCTCCTCCTCTTCCATCTCCTTCTCCCCCTCCCCCTCCTCCACCTCCTCCTCCTCCTCCTCTTCCTCCTCCGACTCCTCCTCCTCCTCGGGTCTCCTACGGCCCCGGGGGAAACCGTGCACCCAACCCTCGAGAGAAATGTTGCCCCCACAAACCCCCCCACCACCACCACCACCATCCGCACGACCCCGCCTCGAGCCCGAGACTGTTTGTTTTGCGCTGCCCTAGTGTATCCAGGGCGCGACCGCCCTCCCTTCCCAGCCCTCGCCTCCGCGCGCAGTGCGGCGGGGCGCGTGCCTTGGTCTGGCACCGGTGCCTCCCCATCGTACGACCAGCGCGTGAACGCCGACAAGCTACGGCAGGTGGCAGTGTTGGTGGTAACGTTGTCGATGCTGTTGATGATGGTGATGAGGAGGAAGAGGAGGAGGAGGAGGAGGACGGACGGAAAAGAAGATAAAGAGGAGGACCATGACGACACGCAGGAGGAGAAGGAGGAGGGCGACGACGACGAGGACGAGGAAGGTGGAAGAGAGTTCAAGGAAGCGGACGAGGAATAGTAATAAGAAAATTATCCCAGTGCGACCCTACCTAGGAGTTGGAGCCTCTAGGAAAGCAACATTAGTAGGAGCGGTAAACGCCGTCCTCCTTCTCCTCATCGTCGTAGCTGTACCAGTAGTAGTAGTAGTAGTAGTAGTAGTAGTAGTAGTAGTAGTAGTAGTAGTAGTAGTAGTAGTCGTAGTTGTAGTCGTAGTCGTAGTCGTAGTCGTAGTCGTAGTCGTAGTCGTAGTCGTAGTCGTAGTCGTAGTCGTAGTCGTAGTCGTAGTCGTAGTCGTAGTCGTAGTCGTAGTCGTAAGTCGTAGTCGTAGTCGTAGTCGTAGTCGTAGTCGTAAGTCGTAGTAGTCGAGTCGTAGTCGTAGTCCGTAGTCGTAGTCGTAGTCGTAGTAGTAGTAGTATAGTAGTAGTAGTAGTAGTCCCGTATAGTCGTAGTCGTAGTCGTAGTCGTAGTCGTAGTCGTAGTCGTAGTCGTATAGTCGTAGTCGTATAGTCGTAGTAGTAGTAGTAGTAGTAGTAGTAGTAATAGTAGTAGTAGTAGTAGTAGTAGTAGTAGTCGTGTAGTAGTCGTAGTAGTCGTAGTAGTAGTCGTAGTAGTAGTAGTAGTAGTAGTAGTAGTAGTAGTAGTAGTAGTAGTAGTAGTAGTAGTAGTAGTAGTAGTAGTAGTAGTAGTGGTGGTGGTGGTGGTGGTGGTGGTGGTGGTGGTGGTAGTAGTAGTAGTAGTAATAGTCGTAGTCGTAGTCGTAGTCGTGGTAGTGGTAGTGGTAGTGGTAGTAGTCGTCGTCGTCGTCGTAGTAGTAGTAGTAGTAGTAGTAGTAGTAGTGGATGATGTGCTGCGCTATGCTATGTTATGATATGCTATGCTATGCTATGCTATGCTATGCTGCACAATGCTATGCTGGGTTAGGCTAGGCTAGGCCATGTTATGCTATGCTATGCTGCGCTATGCTATGCTGTGCAATGCTATGCTGGGTTAGGCTATGCTATGCTTTTGCTTAGCCTTCGCTTTTGCCTTCACTTTTGCCTTTGCTTTTGCTTTTGCTTGGCACCCAGGGAGCGCAACTGGGGGAACCGCGCGTTTGCTTTTACCTTTGTTGTTGCTTTTGCTTGGCTCCCAGGGGACCGGGGGAACCGCCCGGGGCTGAGAAGGTGGAGGATGGCAGGAGGGCGAGGACGACCACGAGGAGGACGGCAACGGCGACGAGGAGGATGAGAAGGTGGAGTTGGAGGCGCGCCGCATGTATAGGCAGCGCACCCTTCCTAGTCATCGACGGTCGCTGAAGGAGGCGGATGAACATTGGCAGCAGCACGAGGATCAGACGTGGGAGAGGAAACAGGAAAGCAGGGGAGCGGGAGGAGGAGGAGGAGGAGGAGGAGGAGGAGGGCCTGGAACAGGACCAGGCACGGGATGAGAACAAGGACATTGGGAGCGAGGCGAAGAACAAGGAGGAGGAGTGGGAAGCAGGATCACTGCGGCAGGAGGAGCAGCAGCAGGAGAAGGGCGAGGACAGGGACGAGGGGCCCAGACAGGATGAGAAGCAGGAGTGTGGGAAGGGGGGGCAGAGGACATACGAGGAGGAGAAAAGGAAGTATGACTCTAACGGCTGTCGGAGAGGGTCACGAACGGGTTCTACGTATGCTCTCACTCCCATGAAAGCATTGCACCGGAGCCGCCCTGTCCCGCCTTCGCCCCCCCCCCCCCCGAGGCACGCGCAGTACGAGGCGAACAGGCCAGAGATGGCGCCGAGCTCAGAGCCTCGCTCGTGGCCTCGTTCCCCGGCCCTCGCCCCGTCTCCGCTTCCCCCTTCGCCCTCCCATCCCGGAATCCTGTCCGACTCCCTTCTCACCCCCACCCCGCCCCCCGCCCTCCCAGATCGTTGTTCCCCCCTCACATTCATCCTGCTGCTCCTCCTCCTCCTCTCTCGCCGTCCTTCCTCCTCCTCCTCATCCTCCACCCTTTACGCCCTCCCCCCTTGCACATTCGATTCCATCCTTTCTTTTTCTCCTCCACCTCCTTTGTCTCCTCCTCCCTCTCCAACATCCGCCCTCCCCATCATCCCGCCTCCTCATCATCACCGTCACCCCACCTTCGCGCGCAACCATGTTGACTCAAGGCCAGGATGGTTGCATCGGAACTCCCGACGCGAGGAGAGGCTCCCTTCCAATCGATTCAGTCTTCGATGCATTCGCAGCCATAGCATTTGGCGATCTGCCGCCCACTCCAGCGTATCTTTGCCTTTCTGGCGGCCCTGACACATCCCGGGCCCTCCTGGATCCGCCATTCACATCAGCGTGGTGGAGCCGCCCGTCGAGAGCACTGCTGATGGTCTCCTTCGGCTGTCAGCATCAAAACGGCAGAGTTTTTCAACATGACGTCGAGCAGCAGCGGCAGATCCTCGTCTTCTAGCCCTATCCATCATCATCATCATCATCATCATCATCATCAGCAGCATCAGCAGCATCAGCATCAGCATCAGCATCAGCATCAGCATCAGCATCATCAGCAGCAGCATCATCATCATCACCATCACCATCACCATCACCGTCACCGTCATTATCATCACCACCATCATCATCAGCAGCAGCATCATCATAGCAAGCAGCGTGCCCATCGGAGAGGTGGGAACACAAGTGGATCCAGCTGCGACCGTGGTCAGCGATCCATACGACAAACCTCCCCAACTCTTGTCGGCCGAGAAATGAAGAAATAAGATCGTGATCACGAACGCCGAGCCCCAGCCCACGGACAGGGAACTCGGCACTCTCACCGACGCAGTGGTACGGCAGGCGTTCCTGAGCGACGCCATGGCCCATCTTGAGGCGACGGAAGCCAAGCACGGCAGCAACGCAGCGAAGAGCAATAATTGTTCAACGGCCTGAACACTTTGGCCACATTCCCCTCTCGGGACCGACAGCAGCCAGAACCTTTTTTTCATTAATCGGGAGCAGGCCATTGGGCAGGATCGGCCGCCAGACCAGCCTCACCTGTCTACGCGCCAGCCGACCAGTCGTGTGCTACGCCACCGCCGCCCAGTTCGCCTCCAAGAGGGCAAGAGGCCCGCCTCGAGAACAGACTCCAGGAACGCTTCGCCGCGCAGATGGAGCTCGCGACGCGACCGCTCGCATTCAAGCTGAAGCGGGGCCGATTGCTCAAGACGCTCAGACTCCTCGCCATGGTGAGCTTCAAGTTGCTCTCAGGCCATTGCGTCAACAGGGCTCCAGGATCGACGGGCTGGGCACCACCCCTCGCGAACGCAGTGCGCGCTCACACGTGGTCGAACAAGAACAGTTTCAAGCACGAGCTGACGCAGAACGGACGCAGGCCTCTTCTGCCATGTCCGACGCCACCATGCCGTCCCTGAACATGGCCGCGCTTGCTGTATGGGATCGGCCTACAGACCCACACCTGTATACGATCGGCGCGGCTACGGGGCTGAATCCCCCCCTGCGTTTTTGAAACTTTTCGGTTTGCTGTTCCTTTTCGTTGTTGTGGGTGGTTCGTTCGATTTTTTCTTCGGGGGGGAGCTTTGTCTGAATCGTTTCCGATTCCGTTTCCTGTATTCTCGTACGTCGTTGGGGCATGGCCAGGAATGCGCCTGGGGCTTCGGGGGGGATCCTGGGAGAGGGGGGGCGACGCTTGGTCACGATTTCGATTGCGTGACCCTTCGCACAATCAGATCCATGACCAGGGGGGGGGGGGGCGACCTGGGGGGGGCGGGGGGGAGAAAGACCAAAACGCTTGCAAACCCAACATCTATGTGTTGCCCCCCCCCTGCGCCAGTACCGTAGGCCCGCCAGTGCCATCTTTTGCGGGTTTGCGTCCTGGCCGACAAATATAAAGATGGAAAAGAGCGTGTGCGACCCCGACTACTCCAGACCACCCTCCGCCTTTCGTAGCCGTTTCGGCCCACGTTTGTTTCTTGCGCCCGGCAGCATCGGGCACATATATGGTCAGGGACTACGCCAATCCAGAGTGCCGATGGGGGCAGCCGGGGCGGCCGCCCTGGTGAAAGGGGACAGCGCGCGCTGCCAGGTACGCCAAGCAGCTGCTCAGGTGGTGGAGCAACGATCCCGAGGTCAGCGCAAGGCTCTCGTCAGACTTTTTCGCAAAAGAACGGCGGACGGCAGGGAGGCTCGGATGGCGCAGCTGGCCCCCGGCGGCATGGAGGAGATTCGGCGTGCTGTTGGCGGTGTTGCCGTTGAAGATGCGGATGCCGTGATCTCTGAAGCTGCCGCACCTCCTCCCAGCACTGTTGTAGTACTTTAAGACTGTAGTGCTGTAGTGGTGGCGCTGTACTAGCCGTAGAACAGCACTGTAGCAACAGTACAGCAGTAGTGGTACTTTAGTATTGTACGAGTGGTACTCTCATACCGTGCTAAGCCAGTAGTAGCTCTGCATTATTGAAGTGGCAGCGCTGTAGTAGTCCTGTAGTTGCAGCCGTACTAGTAAAAAGGAGTAGTGCCCAGGCCTCCCAGTAAAGGCCATATTCTAGCGTTCTCTTTAGCAGTCGCACTGTCGTACTGCAGTAGGAGTAGTCCACAACTGTAGTGCTCGAGCGCAGTAGCAGTACCCTCGAACTGCAGCGGTTTAGTGGTCGCGATGTGGGAAAAACGATGCGCGATGGTGGAGTCGCGCTGTACTGATGTAGCGTTAGCACCGTAGAAGCAGTACTCGATTACAGCATTCGCACGAGTAGCACTCTACGATTGCCTGCAGTGAGCGTACCACTGTATTGCAATAGGAATATTCCAACGCCGTCATATCGCAGCATTGTTGTGTTATTCCTATAGCGCGACAGCGCTGTAGTGGCGATGCGGTTTTATTTTAGAACAGTACTTTGGCAGTAGCACTGCAGTAGTCGTACTCGAACACTGTGCTGGTGGCACTTTGATAAGTGCTAAACCAATAGTTGTAGCGCAAGAGTGAAGTGGCAGCGCTGCAGTAGTCGTGTAGTTGCAGCGGTAGCACCCATGTCTTGCAGCAGAGACCAGACCCTAGTGCTGGGTGTAGTAGTCGCACTGTAGTACTATAGTAGAAGTAGCCCGCTACTGTAGCGCTCGAGCGCAGCAGGTCCCCTCGAAATGTAGCGGTGTCTGTAGGAACGGCGCTGCAGGAACAGTGCTGTACGATTGTGGAATAGTGCCGTATTGTAGTAGTGGCGCTGTAGAAGTTGGACTCTAGGACAGCGCCCGTACGAGCAGCACCCTACGGTTGCCTGCAGCGGCTGCGATGCAGCACTGTAATAGGAATACTCCAACGCCGTACTATCGCAGCACAGTTGTAGTACTCTAGACATGTAGGGCCGTAGCGGTGGCGCTGTAATAGTCGTAACGCAGCACTGGAGCAGTGGCACTGCAGTAGCGGTACCCTAACGCTGTGCTGGTAGTGCTCTTACACTGGCAGTCGTAGTAATGGAGCTCTAACATTGGAGCACTCAAGCACGGAAGCCGTGCCTAGGACTGTTGCGCCGCAGTAGTATTGCATTCGCAGTATAGTATTGAAGTCGGAGTAACTGTCTGGCACAGTAGTAGCGGTACCACTGCAGTGGTGACTGGGATGAGCAGCAAAGCGTTGAAATGTTCTAGCAGTGCAGTAGCATTAAGCGACGGTCGTACTGTTGAAGTAATGATAATGTTGTGTGAGTCGGGTTGCAGTCGTACGTTCGTAGCAATACTGTTGTAGTAATGTGAAAGTCGTAATATCCGAGTATTGTAGTGGCAATAGTATGGGGAGGAGCTCCGGCTAGGTTTCGGCTGAGGCTGAGGCTGAGGCAAGGTTTAGGATGAGGCTTCGGATGAGCCTTATGCTAGGCTGAGGCTGAGGCATAGACTGAGACTGAGGACTTGGCTAGGCTGAGGCTTGGGATGGGTTTCGGCTAGGCTGAGGCGCGGGCTCGGCCGGCGCAGGCTGATGCTTCGGCTCGGCGGAGGTTGGCGCGCAGACCATGCTCAGGCTGAAGCGTAGGCAAGGCTGAACACCAGGCACAGGCCAGGCTCAGGCTAAACAGAGGCTGAGGCTAGGCTGAGGCCAAATGTCGGCTCCGGGCTTAAGCTTGGCTGGGCTGAAGCTTAGGCTGGGCCCAGGCCGAAGACTGGGCCGAGGGCGGCGGAGAGTGAGGGGGAGAGAGAGAGAGAGAGAGAGAGAGAGAGAGAGAGAGAGAGAGAGAGAGAGAGAGAGAGAGAGAGAGAGAGAGAGAGAGAGAGAGAGATCGGACAAGTAGGCGGACCAGGGTCCGTCCGCGAGGCGCACTGCGGTGCGACAACCCGCAAAACACTATTAGCGGCGGTGCAGCCTTAAGATACGAGGGCGGGCGACAGGCCCCCTCCCCCGGCGCAATGCGTCTGAAGTAAAAGACGGCGGACAGACCATGAAGATCTCACCTGTCAGACCGCGTGAAGAAAAAGGCCCCAACGCAAGTGGCGACGTGAAGAACGTGGCTAAGGCGGCTTGGCGGACCGCCGGTTGGGCGCTTGGCCGCTGCGCGGCGCGCAGAGACGGGGCACCCCCCGCCCCCACGCCCAGGCCCCGTGGACGCGGCGCCTCGCGGGCGCACGGGCTGGCGAAAAGAGAAACGGTGCGCCAGCTGGGAGCCGCATGGCCCAGCACAGTGCGCACAGGCCGAGAACCCCAACAGGAGCGGCAAAAGCTAGCCGACAGCACAACGGCACCAGCCGCTGCCAGCTAACCTTTAGCCCCCATTGGCGGACCTCGAAAGTGACAGAGTCCGCGGCCAGGCGGC